AGATCTGAAAATAATTCCTGTACACTCAGTATAATGTCTGCAGATATTCCTCTGCGGCTCGTGTCTATTCCCCATCTATTATCTGAGCACTGGCTGGTAAGTACAGCTCAGCACAAATTATATTAATATGCTGGAGCATCTGCCGGTCCAGAGAGAACTGCGTATTTCCAGGCCTTTCTGTAATTAAATCTGACCAGAGGGGGGTCCCAGCCGCAGCCAAAATCTGGAAGATGCTGCACCGGCAGTGTTAACCCCTTCTGTACCATCACAACATGTCTAACCACTTAAATACATAGAGATGTAAAACCAATGAACTTGATGTAAGTTATCTCATAAGTTCGTAAGTGCTAATATTTTAAAAATATAACTTGTAATATATACAGTTGTGTTCAAAATAATAGCAGTGTGTTGAAAAAAGTGAATAAAGCTCAAAATCCTTCTAATAGCTTTTATTTCCATACATACAAATGCATTGGGAACACGACAAATTCTATTCCAGATCAAAACATGAAGAAAAAATAGATCAAATTTGTGTTGTTCCTCTAAAATAAAAGGAAGAAAAGTGAATATTAGACGGTTCAAAAAAATAGCAGTGTTTGTATTCTTCTTTACAAACTCAAACATTCACTATATAAACTGAAAAATGTTTGAAGATTTTGCTTTCCTTTGAATGACTTCATGAATATTTGGTTGTAGTCGCACTGTTTCTGAGAACTGCTGTACATCTGTGTTGCATGGAGTCACCCAACTTCTGGCCCCTGTGATCAGGTATTCCAGCCCAGGATGATTGGACCACATTCCACAGTTCTTCTCTATTTCTTGGTTTTGCCTCAGAAACTGCATTTTTGATGTCATCCCACAAGTTTTCTTGTTGGAACACCCATTTCAAGGGCATTTCCTCTTCAGCATAAGGCAGCATGAACCTCTTCAAGTATTCTGATGTATTCAAACTGATCCATGATCCCTGGTATGCGATAAATAGGCCCAACACCGTAACACCGGCCAAAACATCCCCATATCATGATGCTTGCACCACCATGCTTCACTGTCTTCACAGTGTACTGTGGCTTGAATTCAGTGTTTGGGGGTCGTCTGACAAACTGTCTCCGCCCACTAGACCCAAAAAGAACAATCTTACTTTCATCAGTCCACAAAATGTTGCGCCATTTCTCTTTAGGCCAGTCAATGTGCTCTTTGGCAAATTGTAACCTCTTCAGCACATGTCTTTTTTTCAACAGTGGGACTTTGCGGGGGCTTCTTGCAGATAGATTGGCTTCACATAGGCGTCTTCTAATTGTAACAGTCCTCACAGGGAACGTCACACCTTCTTTCATCTTCCTGGAGCTGATTGTTGGCTGAGTCCGCGCCATTTTGGCTATTCTTCTATCCATTCGAATGGTAATTTTTCACTTTCTTCCACGTCTGTCAGGTTTTTGGTTGCCATTTTTAAAGCATTTTGCCATCATTTTAGCTGAGCAGCCTATCATTTTCTGCACTTCTTTATATGTTTTCCCCTCTCCAATCAACTTTTTAATCAAGGTACGCTGTTCTTCTGAACAATGTCTGGAACGACCCATTTTCCTCAGAATTTCAGAGAGAAATGCACTGTAACCAGCATGTTCTCACAACATTTGCTGCCTTCCTTCCTTAAATAAGGGCAATAATTGCCACCTGTTTTTCAAAGAATGAATGACCTCACTAATAGAACTATCCACACTGCTATTATTTTGAACATGCCCCTTTCAATTAGTGATTCAATTACACAGAATCAGCAGCATGCATGTCATGACTGTTGGGTCTGTTGGATTTTCTATTACTCTACTACACCTGCTAGGAAATTATTTGCCCCCCACTATGTAGAAATATCATTTCTACCAAAAACAGTGATTGATCCGGTTAGGAATGTCTGACTGCTATTATTTTGAACACAACTGTGGGTGCCCAAACTTTTGCAGACGCCATTTTTTTGTTTTCTGTTATTTTTGAAATGTAAATGATGGAAATAAAATCTAAACTTTTGTTGACATTATTATAAGAATGTCTAATCTGTAATTTGATGCCTTTTGGAGATTTTTTCCATCTTTTCCTTGGCTTCTTTATGCACATTAATACAAATTTTTAGCTGGGGTGCCCAAACTTTTGATCCCCACTGTTATTTACATATATTTAATTTTTTTTATCTATTTTTTCCCCTTCCCTTGGTGTAAGTTTTTCATAAGTTCATAAGTGCTAATTTTTTTAAATATAACCTGTAATTTTATATATATACACAGGTGAAACTTGAAGAATTAGAATATCTTGCAAAAGTTCATTTATTTCAGTAATGCAACTTAAAAGGTGAAGCTAATATATGAGATAGACTCATTACGACATTTGAAGCCCATGTCCAGAATCCGTCTGTGTGTGGTGGCTCTTGATGCACTGACTCCAGCCTCAGTCCACTCCTTGTGATAGTCTCCAACACTTTTGAATGGCCTTTTCCTGACAATCCTCTCCAGGCTGCGGTCATCCCTGCTGCTTGTGCACCTTTTTCTTCCACACTTTTCCCTTCCACATAACTTTCTATTAATGTGCTTTGATACAGCACTTTGGGAACATCCAACTTCTTTTGCAATTACCTTTTGAGGCATTCCCTCCTTATGGAGGGTGTCAATGATGGTTTTCTGCACAACTGTCAGGTCAGCAGTCTTTCCCATGATTGTGATTCCTACTGAACCAGACTGAGAGACCATTTAAAGGCTCAGGAACCCTTTGCAGGTGTTATCACGGCTTGAACTATTTTGCTTTGCATGTAATGAGTCTCTCATATATTAGTTTCACCTTTTAAGTTGCATTACTGAAATAAATGAAATTTTGCACGATTTTCTAATGTTTCAAGTTGCACTTGTGTATATATATATATATATATTTAATATTTTTAGCTTCCCCTGATGCAAGTTTTTCATAAGTTCATAGGTGCTGATATTTTAAAATATAATTTGTAAATATATATATATATATACATAATTATTTCCCTTCTATTGTTTAAAGCGGATGGACTTGTGTCTCTTGTAACTATATATATATATATATATATATATACACACACACACACACCATGTTTGGATATACAGGGTCTCCTCCTTACTTGGCAGCACTACACTGGCACTTCTTCTACCGCTGGAAGTATATGAGTCAGCTGACTCATCAAAAACCATGCACTCCCTGTGCGGCTTATATCCTGACAGTGGTTAAAAAAGAGACAAAGTAAACTCATTAGGACTAGTAGCTGATTTAGAAATGTCTAGATTACATGCAATCATAATATGAAAGAGCACATTTTGCTTCAAAGCACGTCAGGACAAAATTTTCTGCAATACATGCACCTTTCTCCATGTTTTATCTCTATAAAAATCCTGCAAATATAGAAAAATCCTGATGATCTGCCAGATATCCAGAGAGATCTTAATCTCCTGTTTGGGCTGACAACACAGTGCCTTTGCTGCACTGAGGTCCCAAGCAGCGTTGTCAGCCCTGTGTGCTGGACTACAGATGTCTGTTTATTCCTGCCCCTCTTTGTTACTCCCAGCATACATGCATTGGGGGGATTTACTAAAACTGCAGTGTGCACAATCTGGTGCAGCTCTGAACAGAAACCAGTTTCCACTTTTTTTTTTTGTCAAAGCTTAATTGAACAAGCTGAAGTTAGAAGCTGATTGGCTACCATGTACATCTGCGCCAGATTCTGCACTCTCCAATTTTAGTACATCAACCCCATTGATTTCTTTCCCAGCAAAACAATGCTGCAGCCTTGACTTCCAAGGGCCTGACCACAACCACACATAGGAAAATGACTCTTGGAAGATGTAGTTCTGGGGGCATGCCAATGTCCAAAGGAACTAGGCTCCAAGCAGCTGCCCCTGCAATAATTTTACAAGCCTGGTGAGAGTACCTAAAGATATGTTTTCTACATTAAAAACATAAAAAATTTTTTTTTTTTGGAAGGTGAAGGGGGAGGGGGATTAGTGGAGGTAAATGGGGTAATACCTGGACATGAAAATGCAATACAAACCCTCTAATTCTAAGTATATTGTTACATGAAATGTACGAAGCATTCCTTTCTTTTCCCTTTCCTGCAAGCTACTGTGGGGAATTTTGATTAAATAATTAAAATACACATTTTTGGGTTGCATTGACATTTTTTTGAAAAGTGTCTTTTCATTATTCTGATCAACATATCTTCCGCTCAATCCCCAGACATTTTCTTTGGCCATTTAGGGAATTATTACTTACCATCAGTGATCAGCGCCCGACTCGTCAGGACTTTTCCCAACATGAATTTTACAGCGGCCAATAGAGAGCAGAGGATCCCGCTTAATATAGAGACACTGAACAGAAAACTATCCTGCAAGAAAGAGAGAGCGTCATGTTAATAAATCCAAATGTAGGATCGCTGCTCTTATGTATCACACATGTGCCTGTGTTTCAGGACCATGGACAGCACAGGGTGCATTACATGACATCAAACTCTAGTTACAATACAGGTTTAAAGTGTTACTAAACCCACAACAGTACAATCAGTCTGTAGATGCAGTAAAGCATGCTTGTTATACCCACTGTGGGCCCTAAGGGGTTAATCCTCTGCATTGTGTAAAAAGGTTGTTTGATCCTGTCTTCTCTGATCCTCCCCTTCTTCCACAGTTCCCAAGATAGAAAGAGCCTTGGGGCAAGCTGCACATGCTCAGTTTGGTGTGTATTGCTAGAGTTTTTTTTTTTCTTGGGAGGGTGCATGTGATTAGCACAGGGTCAATCAGCACTGTCCAGACAGAGGGTCCAGGGGCCATGCAGCCTAATAGGACTGTTAGAGGGGAATGAAAACTCCTCCTACAAGCTTTTAACAGTGCACTGCTGAACACTGATAGAGGTCACAAAACTGCTATATACTGGTGAAAAAAGGTATTTAGCCATTTATATTTACTACAATAATTGCAATTCCATGTTGTGTACATACTGTGGGAGACCAGATATAGTGAATGCAGGGTCTGGGGAGACCAGATGTAGTGAATGCAGGGTCCGGGGAAACCATACATAGTGAATGCAGGGTCTGGGGAGACCAGATGTAGTGAATGCAAGATCCGGGGAGACCAGACATAGTGAATGCAGGGTCGGGGAGACCAAATATAGTGAATGCAGGGTCTGGGGAGACCAGATATAGTGAATGCAGGGTCCGGGGAGACCAGATATAGTGAATGCAGGGTCCGGAGAGACCGGATATAGTGAATGCAGGGTCCGGAGAGACCAGATATAGTGAATGCAGGGTCCGGAGAGACCAGATATAGTGAATGCAGGGTCCGGGGTGACCAGATATAGTGGATGCAGGGTCCGCGGAGACCGGATATAGTGAATGCAGGGTCCGGGGAGACCAGATATAGTGAATGCAGGGTCTGGGGAGACCGGATATAGTGAATGCAGGGTCCGGAGAGACCGGATATAGTGAATGCAGGGTCCGGGGAGACCAGATATAGTGAATGCAGGGTCTGGGGAGACCGGATATAGTGAATGCAGGGTCTGGTGAGACCGGATATAGTGAATGCAGGGTCCGGAGAGACCGGATATAGTGAATGCAGGGTCCGGGGAGACCAGATATAGTGAATGCAGGGTCCGGGGAGACCAGATATAGTGAATGCAGGGTCTGGGGAGACCAGATATAGTGAATGCAGGGTCTGGGGAAACCAGATATAGTGAATGCAGGGTCCAGAGAGACCAGATATAGTGAATGCAGGGTCCGGGGTGACCAGATATAGTGAATGCAGGGTCTGGAGAGACCGGATATAGTGAATGCAGGGTCCGGGGAGACCAGATATAGAATGAATTCAGGGTCCGGGGAGACCAGATATAGTGAATGCAGGGTCCGGGGTGACCAGATATAGTGAATGCAGGGTCTGGAGAGACCGGATATAGTGAATGCAGGGTCCTGGGAGACCAGATATAGTTTAGTAACACCTTAAATAGAAATAGAATGTATATAAGCTTTGTACATTATATTTTTTTTCATTTCTTAAGCTCAGGACTTAAAAACATATTTAGGTCCAATAATTATGATTTGTTGCGCATTAAAAACATTTCAGCCAGCAGGTTGGGTGTTATGGGTTTTTTCTCAGTTTGCTTTTGCTATGTTAATCCTGTGTACAGAGCTCAATAGCTCAAGCTGCAGTGTTCATACCAAGAAGAGGATGACTTGTCTCATTGGCTTATCCCTTACTGGCCATCTCAACCCGAAACTTCAATCAGACAAACCGCAACCTCAGTTCCAAGAGCATCTGCTGTGTTGCTTTTTAGCTATCCCATGGTGCTCTGGGAAGTCCATTTAAATGACATTTAAGACTACCCTATCTACAGGGTGATAATGCTCTCATGTGATCTGTGATGTGTTGTCACCCTGTTTATAGGACAAATAATAAAATAACAGATCAGTAGATCCAGGTCAACAGTCATAGGCTGGGTCAACAGGTAATAAAACAATGTTACACGGGGGAATTCAGGAACAAAAAAAAACCTGTTGTGGTAATGGAACCATATATGAAATTTCTTTATTTTGCCCATCGTTCACTTTAATAAGGATTTTAATTTTAGTCATGTGACCCTAATTTTCAATTGTCGTTGTGAATTTGACTGAAAATAAAGATCCTTATCCTGGTATGTTAGCTTTCCTGTAGCAGTGGATTATTCCTTTTATTGATTGCTGTACAGTACGGGAGAAGGCCAGGGATGGTGTGATTGGTTTCTGGAGGCAACACGGACTGTTCTCGTTTCTGCTCTGTAATGTCGCGGTCTGTTCCCCCCCTCCCTGCTGGCAGATTGCTGATCAGATGTTCACCACGTCTCAGGGGAAATTTAGCGCTGCAATCCTTGGCACGGCTTCTCCCTTAATTACTATTCACCTCACAGATCTGCCTCCCAATTTATTCCCACTACGGATGCACAAAACGCAGGCGTGCCGGGTGCAATATCCCCACACCGTCATCCCGCCGGTCCGGGCCCTGATTGTTCCTGACACTCCATTAGGGGGGGAACTGGTTAATATGTGCAGGGGGATCGAACTCTAATTCACACAAATATATTAAACTCCTTGATTAGCATATAAATGAAGTTATATATACGTCGCCGCGCGGCAGACTTTCCTCCAAACAAGCCCCGCGCCGCTACAGGAACAAACACAACAAATCCAAGAATTTCTGTTCATGTCGGAAATAAATATAATGTACCCTTCTGATGGGAAAACTGGCTTGAGTCCGGCTTCCAAGACTTCTGATTATACCTCCCATACCTGAAATTCTTCAGTTATCAGTTACAAAAATGTTTAATATATTTATAAACAATATAGGGTCTGAGATTATAAATCCCATTTCAGTCTTTGCAGATGACACCAAGCTGGCCGTGGAATAATGTTCTTACAGGATGTCTCCAAATTACAAGCCGACCTCAATGCTCTGTGTAATTGGGCAACTATGCGGCAAATGAGGTTTAATGTTGATAAATGTAAGGTTCTGCACTTGGGGGCTAAGACTATGCATGCATCATACATACTAAGGGGGGTACAACTGGGGGGGGTCAATGGTGGAGAAGGATCTGGGAGTCCTGGTAGATCACAAGATTAATAATGGCACGCACGCATGCCAAGCTGCGGTTTCTAAAGCGAGCAAAATCCTCTCTTGTATTAAAAGAGGTATAGACTCCAGAGAGAGAGATATCATTCCCCCCCCCCCCCCCCGTACAAATCATTAGTAAGACCTCATCTGGAATATGCAGTTCAGTTTTGGGCTCCAATTCACAAAAAGAACATTGGGGAACTGGAGAAAGTACAGAGAAGGGCAACCAAACTGATAAGAGGCATGGAGGAGATCAGCTATGAGGAAAGATTAGAGGAACTGAATTTATTCTCTCTTGAGAAGAGGAGATTAAGGGGGGATATGATCAACATGTATAATACATAAGGGGGGATATGATCAACATGTATAATACATAAGGGGGGATATGATCTCCATGTATAATACATAAGGGGGATATGATCTCCATGTATAATACATAAGAGGCGATATGATCTCCATGTATAATATATAAGGGGGGATATGATCTCCATGTATAATACATAAGGGGGGGATATGATCACCATGTATAATACATAAGGGGGATATGATCTCCATGTATAATACATAAGGGGGGATATGATCACCATGTATAATACATAAGGGAGGATATGATCTCCATGTATAATACATAAGGGGGGGATATGATCTCCATGTATAATACATAAGGGGGGATATGATCTCCCATGTATAATACATAAGGGGGGATATGATCTCCGTGTATAATACATAAGGGGGGATATGATCTCCGTGTATAATACATAAGGGGGGATATGATCTCCGTGTATAATACATAAGGGGGGATATGATCTCCGTGTATAATACATAAGGGGGATATGATCACCATGTATAATACATAAGGGGGGATATGATCTCCATGTATAATACATAAGGGGGGATATGATCTCCATGTATAATACATAAGGGGGGATATGATCACCATGTATAATACATAAGGATCTCCGTGTATAATACATAAGGGGGATATGATCTCAAAGGCCAGAATTTATACAGCTTGTCTGAGCTGTCGGAAAACAGGAGGCAGAGAGCTGGAATTACACACTGAAGTGCTCAGTGAGGAAAGCTCTGAGAACTGATTTGAGGGAAGAGACACCGTCACACAGCACATAGGAACAGAGCTGAGGCTGTCAATCACAGGCTGTGTGCTGGTGCTCCCTCCCCTGTCACCTTCTTTTTCTTGGTGTCAGGATCCTTTGGTAGTTGCTGTTCTTCCCTGAAGTCACCACACACGATGCCGAGAACATACCCAATTTCTTGAATGTCTAGCCCTACAACACAGGATATATGTCCCCAATATGCATGTTCTGTTTCAAAAAATGTCCCTTTATGCAGTGACATACCTCCTAAAACCTAGCCTGTCCAGACAGTAGGGGCACCTGCTGACTCGGCACCATCCACAGACAGCTTAACTCTTCAGAAAGACACAACATTAATTTACAATTTTACTTCAGCTATCTGCCATAGGAAGGATGTTTTTCCAGACTTTTGAAGTGTAAGAAGACAATAGGGTTGATTTACTAAAACTGGAGCGTGTGAAATCTAGTGCAGCTCTGCATAGAAACCAATCAGCTTCCAGGTTTCATTTTCAAAGCTGAATTGAACAAGCTGAAGTTCAAAGCTGATTGGCTCCCATGCACAGCTGCACCAGATTTTTCACTCTCCAGTTATAGCAAATCAACACCAATGGCTTTCCTAAGCCCTGTCTCTGTGATCAACTAACACAGACTGAGTGAACATGGAAACTAACTAGACCTAAACAGAAGGGGAGGACAGAGGAAGATACCAAAATCACACAAGTATTAGCATCACATTAGTAATACCCACTTGAAGACTAAGCATTTTCTATGACGTTTTGTTTGCAAGTTTAAATCTGTATTTTTTTGCTAGAAAATTACTTATAACCCCCAAACATTATATTTATTTTTTTTTAGCAAAGACCCTAGAGAACGAAATGGCAGTTTATTTAATGTCACATAGTATTTGCGCAGCAGTTTTTCTATGCACATTTTTTGAAAAAAATACACTTTAGTGAATAAAAAAAACCCCAACACAATATATACCCCATTTTTGGTAGGATATGAAGGAGGATGTTATGTTGAGAAACTTGCGCACACTTGTGGAATGGTGACAAACTACAGTGCTTAAAAATCTCCACGGGTGACGCTTTAAAATTTTTTTTATAGGTTACCTATTTAGAGTTGCAGAGGAGGTCCAGTGCTAGAATTGTCACTCTCACTCTAACGATCGTGGCGATACCTCACATGTGCTGAGAACATCGTTTACGTATGTGCGCATGATTTACATATGCATTTACTTCCGCGCATGAGTGTGTTGGGGATGGGGGAGCTTAACCACTTCAAGTCCGGACACTTTCACCCCCTTCCTGCCCAGGCCAATTTTCAGCTTTCAGCGCTATCACACTTTGAATGACAATTGCGCGGTCATGCAACACTGTACCCATATGAATTTTTTAACATTTTTTTGAGACAGATAAAGCTTTATTTTGGTGGTATTTATTCACCGCTGGGATTTTTTTTTTTTTGCTATATAAATGAAAAAGTCCAAAAATTTTGAAAAAAAAAGGGTTTTTCTTATAAAATTTTGCAAATAAATATATTTCATCATAAATCTTGGCCAAAATTTATTCAGTTATCTTTTTAGTAAAAAAAAAAAAAAACCAAATTAGTTTATAACCAAAACTTATAATTTTTTTTTACATTTTTATATTTATTTGTTTATTTCAGGTACTTATATAACACCACCAATTTACGCAGCACTTTACATATATATTGTACATTCACATCAGTCCCTAACCCTCAAGGGGCGTACAATCTAAGGTCCCTAACTCACATTCATACATACACATACTAGGGACAA